GTTTGACCGTGTCCGCCCAGTCCGGAACCTTCAGCTTCCCAGACCTACGGGAATATACCGGGAATCACACCGGGAATCACACCGGGAATACCGGGAGGACACCGGGAATACCACCGGGGATACCACCGGGAATAATACCGGGGATATCACAGGGAATGGGGCCGGGAATAACACTGGGAATACCGGGAGGACACCGGGAATACCACCGGGAATGACACCGGGAATACCGGGAGACCACCGGGAATGGGGCCGGGAATAACACCGCGGATACCACCGGGGATAACACTGGGAATAATTCCGGGAATAACACCGGGAATAACACGGGAATACCCCTGGACCACCCCCCCGGCCCCAGGGACCCCCTCCGGGACATCGGGGACCCCCCTCAAGCCCCAGGGATCCTCCAGGACCCCCCGATCCCCTCCCGCGACCCTTCCAGGCCCCTCCCGGTCCCCAGGGCCCCCCCTTCCGCCGGGATCCCTTGGGGACCCTCCGATCCCACCCCAGGACCCCCCACCCCCCCCCCAGGACCCCTCCAGGCCCCTCCGATCCCCCCCCGTGCCCCCCCCCCAACCCGTCCCCCCCTCACTTCTTGAGGAAGGCGGCGAGCGCCCGCACGAACTCCTGCTGGTTCACGTCCTTCACGGTCACCCCGGGCATCTGCGGGGACACGGGCAGCGCTGGGACCCCCGGAGACCCGCCGGGACCCCCCAAATCCCCGCCGGGGCCCCCCAACCCCCCCCCATCGCTCCCCCCCCGTTCCCACCTCGCTCCTTTCGCCGCCGCCGCCGACGCCGGAAGAGGCCCCGGCGCGGGTTCGCCCGGGCCAAGGCGCAGGGGCGGCGGCATCGCGAGACGCGCTCGGCCAATCCGCGCCCGCGAGACTTCACGTCGGCCAATGGGATTGAGGAGGGGGCGTGGTTTTGCCTGGCACCGCCCCCTTCGCGGGTGCCCCAATGGACCCCCCTGGAGGCGTGGGAGGGGTTGGCCACTCCCCTCGCTCCTCATTGGTCGCCGCGCGGCCGGGCGGGTGTAAGCGCGGCGGGGATTGGCTGCGCGCCGCGCCGCGGATGGGAGGCGCGCGGGGATTGGGTGGAGGGGTTGGCGGGGTGTCCCCGGGGTGTCCCGGTGTCCCCAGGGTGTCCCGGTGTCCCTGTGCCACCCCCGCAGTGTCCCCAGAGTGACCCAGTGACCCCCCCGTGGTGTCAGTGGAGTGTCCCGGTGTCCCTGTGCCCCCCCTGAGCTGCCCCCGGGGTGTCCTCGTGGTGTCCCAGTGTCCCTTTGCCACCTCGGAGGTGTCCCCAGGGTGTCCCAGTGACCCCCTTGACCCCACCCCCCCCGTCCCCACCCCCGTGGTTTGTTCCCTCCATCCCTGCCCCTTTAAGAGGGGGCGTGTCCCTGCCCATGTCTCCGCCCCCTCCCTTACCATCCAATGAGAAGCATCTACACAAAAAGGGGCGTGTCCCTCCAGTCCCAGCCCAGCCAATGACAAACGAGAACACAAAGAGGGGGCGTGTCCCCCTCCTTTCACCCCATCCAATGACGAGCGGCGACACAAAAGGGGGCGTGGCCAAGAAGCTCCAAATATTTCCCGTTGTTTAAAAGATTCCCGGTCGGTCACGTGACCCCCCCATTGGCCCCGCCCCCTCCCACGAGCCCCCCCAAAAGGGAAAGGGGGCGTGGCCTGGAATGGGCTCAGCGCGCGCCGGCCCCGCCCCCGGGAGGCTCGGGGGGCGTGGCCTCGGAGGAGGAGGGGGTTGGGTCAGTGGGGGGCGGGGCCGCGGCGGAGGCCGAGGGGGCGGGGCCGGCGGAGGGGGCGGGGCCGTCGGCGGCGGAGGCCGAGGGGGCGGGGTCTGCGGGGTCGGTGGGCGGGGCCGGGTCGGTGGGCGTGGCCGCCTGCATGATCTTCTGACGGACCTCGCGGATCTTGAGCTGCAGACAAAGTTTGGTGGGGAAGATGTCCGAGAAACGGGACTGGAACGCGGCCGTGGCCTGGGCTGGGACAGAGAAACAGTGTGAGAGGGACACACGGACACAGGGATGGACACACAGACACGGGGACAGACAGACAGCCAGTTTTGGGGCTGTTTTGGGGCTCACCCGAGGGGATGAAGCCAGGCTGTGTTTGGGGTGATTTGGGGGTTATTTTTGGGGTGTTTTCAGGCGGTTTTGGGGCTCACCCGAGGGGAAGAAGCCGGGCTGTGTTTGGGGGGTATTTGAGGGTTATTTTTGGGGTGTTTTGGGGCAGTTTTGGGGCTCACCCGAGGGGAAGAAGCCGTGCTCCTGAAAGAGCTGCATGACGAGGGCCCGGCGCTGGTCCAGGGTCCGTCTCAGGGACGAGAACGGGACTTTGTCGTACTCGAGCTCCCCCAGGACGTCCTCGCCCTCCCCCCCTGCGGGGACACCGGGGGGGTCAGGGGGGGCCCCCAAACCTGGGACACCCCAAACATGGCCCCACCCCCCCAACCAGACCCACCCACTCCCCATTTCAGGGTCCCCCCCGTACTTTGGGGGGTCCTGCTCATTATTTGGGGTTTCCCCCCACACACGTTTCAGGGTCTCCCGTATATTTTGGGGTCTTCCCTATGTTTTGGGGTGTCCCCCCATATTTTGAAGGGTCTCCCCTCACCTGTCCTGTCGAAGGTGAAGATGTCCCCCCATATTTTGGGGTGTTCCCCTAAATATTTAGGGATGGTCCCCCCATATTTTGGGGTGTCCCCTCATATTTTGGGGTGTATTTGGGGTCCCCCCTCACCTGTCCTGTCGAAGGTGAAGATGTCCCCCCACATTTTGGGGTATTTTGGGGTGTTTTTGGGGTCCCCCCTCACCTGTCCTGTCGAAGGTGAAGATGTCCCCCTCGCACTTGGCGCTCTTGGGGGTCGTGGGGTCGGAGCCGCAGCTCGAGCGGCGCCGCAGCTTCCGCTTGGGGGAGGAGGGGTCGTCCCCCCCCGGCTCCAGGTCTGGGGGGGCAAAGGGCAAAGGTCACAGGGGGGTCACCCCCACTCCCACCCCTCCTCCATAGGGGGCTGGGGGGGGGTTGTGGGTCGTGGAGGGGTCAGAGAGGTCGTGGGGGTCATAGAGGTCACGGGAGGTCACGGAGGTCAAGGGGGTCACGGGGGGGTCGTGGAAGGTTGTGGGGGTCACAAAGGTCAGGGGAGGTCATGGGGAGGTCATGGGGGGTCACAGAGGTCATGGGGGTCACAGGGAGGTCACAAAGGTCAGAGGTGGTCACAGAGATCGGGGGGGTCGCAGGGGGGTCACAAAGGTCAGGGGAGGTCACAGGGAGGTCACAGAGGTCACGAGGGTCACACAGAGGTCACAAAGGTCACGGGGAAGTCATGAGAGGTCAGGGGGATCATAGAGCTCATGGGGGTCACAGGGAGGTCATGGGGGGGTCACAAAGGTCATGGGGGTCACAGGGAGGTCACAAAGGTCAGGGGATCACAGGGAGGTCATGGGGGGGTCACAAAAGTCATGGGGGTCACAGGGAGGTCACAGAGGGATCGTGGAAGGTTGTGGGGGTCACAAAGGTCAGAGGGGTCTGGGGGGTGGGTGTCAGAAACTGGGGGGGGGTAGGAGCCCCGGGGGGAGTCCGGGGGGGTCCCGCGGGGGTCAGAGGTCAGGGGAGGGGTCCCGTGGGGGTCAGAGGTGAGGGGTGACCTGTGGAGTTCTTGCGTTTCTTGCGGTAGCTGCCCAGGATGGTGCGGGGGGAGGTGGCCAAGGCCTGCAGGGTGGGCGAGGGCAGAACCTCCTCGGGCCGGAACTCGGGCAGCTCCGCAAAGCGCTCCTCGAAATCCACCTCTGACAGAACCCTGGGGGGGACAGAGCCCTCAAAACACACCCAAAATACCTCCAAAACCCACCCCAAATACCCCTGAACACACTGAATCCCCAGAGCTCCTCGAAATCCCCCTCTGACAGAACCCTGGGGGGGGCAGAGCCCTGAAAACCCACCCAAAAACCCACCCCAAATACCCCTGAACATCCCCTGAACACCCTGACCCCCCAGAGATCCTCGAAATCCACCTCCGACAGCACCCGGGGGGGAGAGACCCCCAAAAACCCCCCCCGAATACCCCTGAACACACTGACCCCCCCCACACCCAGAGCCCAGCCCATCACCATAAAGCCCCGCCCAGCACCATAAAGCCACCCCCTCCAGCTCTCAAGCCCCACCTCCACTCTGTGGCCCCACTCCCAGGCTCTCAAGCCCCGCCCACACAAACTCATTGGCGGTTCTAAGCTCCGCCTCCTTCTTCAGGCCCCACCCACTGCTCTTCAGGCCCCTCCCCCTGCTACAAAGCCCCACCCCAGGACTCCCCACATGGCCCCTCCCTCTCCAGAGGCTCCTCCCCCCACACAGACCCCTCCCCCCTTTTCCAAGAGCTCCTCCCCCATCCCAACACAGGCCCCTCCCCCTCCCCAGCCCCTCCCCCCTCACTTGTCGACGGAGTCGAAGGTTTTTTTCAGGGGGGGGGG